TTGCTCATTTCGTCAATTACCGTAAACACAATGCATTCACCATCATATAAGCAAGGTGTCGAACAAGCTTATTAGCGATATGACCAGATATTAAGAGAATTCGGGTACTTCACGAGATAAAATTCTTTGTGAGCTATACTTGATGGAGTTCCATTAATTCTGCAAGACAGTTACTGATCATGACTTTCTTGATGCATAATTTACCTGCCCAATGAACCAGTCTTTATAATTCTGAGAAAATTGAAGTGAACATGTAAAAACTATTTAAAAAAATACAGTCAAATCACCTTTTCGCTCATGTTTGAAATTCCGTGTCAAATTGTATCCTTAGAAACCAGAGAATAAAGCTGTTTACAAGATATTGTGAGTGTAGATGCCCAACCATGCTGTGGCATATCAATCCAAGCAACAGTACTCATACGCTGATTATATAATTATTTAGGATACAATCAAGCAGACCCACGTGATATTGAATCCGTCATATGCAGTAATGTACTAAAAGAGAAAAACAAACCTCGTCGCAATGGATCAAAAAAAGTAGTAGAACTTTCGAGCAGCAATTCTACTGTACATTGGCAAAAATGAAGCAGGAATGTTGCGTGATTGAGACAAGTTTGGAATTAGTACTTGGATGTAAAGCTCCTTTTCCAAGAATCCGCAAAAGTTTAAATTGTCAGATTGGTAATCCTGCAGTAAAATATTCTGAAAGCCTAGTGGGTTCGATGCAAGCGGTCATTTTCAATCCAGGCCAGCTATATATTCAAAGCTTTCCAACTCCTGAAGATTCATATCTCAACATAGATAAAACAGCTCATACAAAACTATAATGCAACTTGACAAACATCATACGTCACAAGGAGCACTCACCTTACCTGAGGCTGTAGAAAACCGCCACCATCATTGTCCAATTCATTCATATCAACTCGCGCTAGCGTTTACGAAACCTGAACGAAGAAGATGCAGAGCCAAGCTTAGGAGAGTTACAGATTTAAAAAGTGATGTTAAGTTAAAAATAGAGATATACTGATGAAGAGAAGATTTATTTAATTTACTCAGGCACGAGGCAGATTCTTGTCCTTAGATTTGAAAAGAAAATGCCGTTTAACATTCTTGTGTGTAAGCAGTATTGTCTCAAGTTAGAGAGCAAAGGCAAGACCAAATGAAGAACGGCAACATGCTACCTTGTGGACTTCAAGGTGAAAGGCATATGAACACACACTCGCACACACATAGAACGTGAGTATCGCAACGCGTCCATAATCATCCTCCTCTGAAACTCAAATATTTACAATCTGAGAAAAAAAATTCTGCATTTTGGTCCAATTTTCTCGACTCATAAATAGGCAACATGACAGAAGTCTTCATAATTCATCTTCAACCCAAAACCATTGTCAAGTTGCAGCAAGTAATCTTAACAGAAACTCTAAATGAGACACAAAAGCTCGCCAGCATCAACATATGTATGTTCGCTAACAGGTAAATCCCACTTATAAAACTTGAATGAAATAAGGGGAAAGGCAATAGATGCATTATGGCCCTACCTAAGCTAAATTCACAATTCAAATATTCCTTACTGGAGTACACCTGTTCTCTCCTCTATTTAATACGAGGATTTTCATCTTCGTTGCAACTATATTTCAGGCGATCCTATATACGACTTCTCCGCTAAATAGGCAGCAGAAAAAAGGATGGCATTTGCTCGTGACATATCCTAAGAAATCCATACTTCGCAAGACGCTGCACCTTCATACCAGCAGAATTTTCCACAGGTTTCTGTTGATCACCCGAAACACACCATCATTAAAATCAACGTGTGTCACTACGGCTGCAAACACAAACTGTCACAGGCAATAATCTGACCACTAAATCCAACATACTTCTCTATAGTTCTATTTGTAAAAGTTGACTAACCACTTCATTCTATACCTGGACCAAACCACCCGCACCTTTTGCAGCCTCAGACCCAAGCCCATCACCCGATCCATCACACTTCCGAAGCTGATCAACCCAAAGCATCGACGAAGGGAGTGGCCCTCTGCAGCGCATCTCTGGCCTCCTTAACTCCGTCTTGTGAAAATCCATGGTTTCTTCGAAACGCAGGAATTCATCGGTGGCTTCCATGCTCCCCCGTGAGCTTGAGCTGCATAGAATGCTCACGATCGAGGTATCGCTGCGAAGCGAAGCAGATCAGAGCTCGAGAAAACAGAATCTGGAAACCCTAATTCGACAAAACTACACTGAACTGCAGTTTGCCATGACTGCATGTTTCACTGATTTTGTGTTTCTCGTTGCAGCGTCTGATTTATTTCTATGGTGGATATTATGCATCGTTCCAACGTTGTTGAGAATTTGAACTTTTCATGTTGAGATATGAATAATGCTTGGAATTTTTCCATTGGGTTTTTTGAAAGTTTTGGTATGTTGAAAGAATGTATCTTTTGGAGGTGTAAGGGAAGATTTGTGAGTGGATTAATGAATTGCTTGGAGAGGATAGAAAGATAAATTGGGTTCTAAAAATTTAGGAAAATCAATTAGGGTCTAAAATGTTTAGAAGAATAAAATATCTCTATTACTTGTTGAAATTAGACAAGTAAAGAAATTATCAATATTTGTTGAAAATATAAATTTTTATAGATATCTTTTGTGCTTGAAGTGGATTCATATTATAAATTAAATATAATAGTAATAATATATTCGGTCCTTCTAATTTTTAATGGATAATGATTTATGATATATATTTATATTTATATTTATAAATAGAATCATAAATGAAGTGGTTTGATAACTTTTATAAATAGTACTATGTAAAAGTAATAGAATAAAATATAAAAATATATATTTTTAAAAATAATAGATATTAAAAATATTGAAATAAATTTTAGAATTAATATATATATATATATATATATATATATGCATTCCAGGAATTAAATTAAATATAAAATAGTATGAGCCATTGATAAAATATGTTATTAGTAATAATATAAGTATGATAGGTATCTATACTATTGAAGTAGGTAGAAATAAATAGAAGTAAGTAGAATTAGATAAAAATATATTAGATTGATAACTTCTTTAAGAAACTTCAAAAAAAGCTTTTTAAATACTAATCAAATCTATAAATGATTTCAAATAAGTCACATGGCTATTTAATTTTTAATTTATTTTTTTGTATTATTTGGAATTCATAATAAATCTATCTTCTAATTTGAATTCTTAGCCTACAAACCTCTTAGTTCCTAGAAATTTTTACATAACCTTCTTGTTAGTTAGTATTTATAGAGGCTAGAATAAGGCATTCTTTAATCTTATTAATATTTTAATATTTTAGTCTTTATTCAAGACTTTTTTAAAAAATCATTGCTTAGAAATATATACTCTAAATTATTTTTACTTCATCTTATATCTCTTCTTTCTTAGTTATACTGAAGGAGATTTTTTCCAATTTTTTTTTATGTTTGTATTATTGAAAATAAGTAAATAAATAATAAATTAAATTAAATTAAATTAAAACTCATCTTTTAAAATAATAGTATTCACTTTTAAAATTCAATATACTCTTAAAATAAAAAGAAACAACAAAATTATACTTTAAAAAGGAAGTACTCATAAGATTAAAGAAAAATCAATAATTTTTTTTGAATTATTTAGAAATTATGTCAATCAAATCTTATAAAATCATTTTAGCTAAAAATATAATTAAAATTTTATATTTCATTTTATTTAAATAAACAAGTTTGCTAGATAAAATACTATCTTTTAATATAGACAAATAAATATAAATAAAAAAATATTATTTTAATAAACTAATTAAGTTGCTTAAAAGATATAACCACAAAAATAATTTCATTAAATTTATCATATTTATCATGATAGTCTTAGAATTATTTATTATTAATTAATAATATATATATATATATATATATATATATATTCAAAGTTATTTATTTTAGTTAACATGAAAAGATCTAGCATTCAAGGTTTAATAAACATAAATATACAATGCCCAACTTGGGACTTTTTAACTACAAATTTGTCAAAAACAACAACAATTGTATTGAGTAAATATTTTGTGGTAAAATATATTTGATTTTTCATTGATTAAAAATAAATATTGGATAAAAATATTGATTTAGAATACAAACATATAGTTTTTAAAAAATTATTATTTATTTTATTTTATAAATTATCAATTATAATACGTTCTATTAAATTATGGTTGAAAATAACAACAACCAAATAATACATTTTAAGTAAAAAATACTCTAGTCTTAAAAATAAAATGAAATAAAAATTAATAAAAAGATTTTCAAATATGATATTGATTTAAAGGTAGATACTTTGCTACTTAAAAGATATAGAGACTTTTAAAAATTTATGAGATGTAAAAATATTTAGAATATCTTAAAATAATTCTAAAAGGTATTTAATACTGTATTTTTTTTCTTTGCTTAAGATACAACTTTTAAAAATTATAATTTTAAATTTTTAAATCTTGCAATAAAAGTACAAACTATATATATATATATATATATATATATATATATATATATAATTATTGTGTATAATGAGATTGTAGATAGAAGTAGTATAATTTTATAATTTTAAATAGAAAATAAATTCTACACTGTGAAAGAAAAGAAAAAGAAAAAGAAAAAAAAAAATAATGTTTTAAAATATAAGTTAAAGCATAAATAATGATAGTAATTATAGGTATATTTTATTGAGTTTAATGTATTTAATATCTTAGAATAAAATATCTAATTATATAAATATATATATATATATATATATATAAGAAAAATGTTAATTTGTAAGATAAGAATTTTAAAAAGTAATAATAAGTTTTTTTTAATTTGCTAAAATTTCCTTATAAACTTTTAAATCACTTACAACCTTACCAAAAACTATATTTTTCTACAAAACATTACTACAAATTTTATTATATATATGAACTAACTCTTTTTTAAAGATAATATAAAATAATTACACCAAATTTAAGAACATAGTCATGTAGTAAATATGTGGTGTAAAATTATAAAATTAGAATAGCTATTGAATATTAATTTGATGCATATAATATGTATTATATTAACAACATGTAAAAATTATAATATTGTGTAACATTATTCATGTAACATAATATCAATGAAAATATTCAAAAAAATATACTATTAAAATATCTTTTTATTGTCTTTTCAAAATTATATAGAAATTAAATATTAATTAAAAAGTTCTAAGAAAAATAAGAATATAATAATTTCTTAAAATTTTAATAAATTAAGAGGTGAAAATTTTTATGAATTTTACGTGATAATATTTAATATAAATAATATATTTTAATTTAATTTAATTAATTTTAAAAAATTAAAATAAATAAATTGTAAAAAATATTACAAAACTTGTATAATAAAGAAAAAACTAATAAAAAATTACATGTATAATTCTTTTTAGAATCTATAAATTATTATATATATATATATATATAGTAGAAGATATTAAAATGACACATTTATTTACTAAATTAATCTTCCCTATCATGGAAAAGAAGGGAGAATAAGGGGGGTTGGGATGAGAGCTGAAAATAAAGGGAGGGAAACAGAATGGTTGGGATGGAGAAGGCTTGGAACAGAGAGAGTGGGGATTAGGAACAAGGAGAGTGGGAATGAGGGTCATAATTATAATGATGGTTTCTAGAGATGATTTATTTTTGTAATGATGGTTACAATAGGTTGAATCAATTTAGTAAATGGGTGGATAATTTTAGTATTTATATATATATATATATATATATATATATAAAGTAAAACAAATTAAGTGGTATGATAAAACCAAGTTTATATTTTATTTTATTTTATTTCTAAAATCAAGTCATTTTTTCTTTAGATCTTTAGTCATTTACATATTTTAAAATATATATTTATAATATTATTATAAATATCTAAAATATTATAATTATAAATTGATGCAAAAGAGTTGTAATTAGAAGAGTATTTATCAAAATAAAATAAATAAATAAATTAGACTCATAATTATAAAAATATAGTATTAAGTCTAGATTTATATTTGATATTTTAAATTTGAACTAGGCTATATTTTTTGTAATCTTAAGAGTGTACAAGTAAGAAAGATGCTTCTTAGATTTTAAGCTATTTGGATAGTGCAACTTAAAAATATTTAAGCCTCCAAATTTAAGCCTTTAAACTATTACCAGGACAAATTTAGTGCTTAACATATTATTGTAGGTTGAACTTGCTTTGGCCAAAATTTAAATAATTTTGTTATGTTTAGTATTGTTAATCACCTATATTGCAATTTCTTTATCTTGTAGATGAACTCTTCTTCTTGTCAAAAAACTTCTTTTTATAAAAGAAAAGTTTTATTAAGTATATTTTGGACAATGAGTTACCAAGAGTGAATTGCTATATTCATATTAACATTGATTCATACCCAAGTTTATTTATCAATTTAAACAATACTCTCTTTTGGCAACATGGCATCTTCCCTTAGGCTCCTCACCCTTGATCTACCTTCCCTTCCGCTTCTCTCATTACTCATCAATAATGGGTTAAAAAATGAAGTTATAATCCTAAAACATTATTTAACATGTTCAAACTCTTGATTTGGATGAGCATTCATTTCAAATTCTCACGCTCTTGGTTACAAAACCCAAGAGTTTTAATCAGCATTCTTTACAGTTGGATATGTCATGGGCATTTCTCTCCTATTTGTAATAATCAGAGTGCATGCAAAAGTGGTGTTGTTTGGCCTCGTACCCCAAATTTTGATAAAGAATTGGTCTGTCTTTTTAGAAGGGCTGACAAAAGACAAACCACATCTGTTGGCTTCCCTGGAGTTATCAGTAGAAATACACACCTCAGGTGAATAACAGCATTTCTATTTGGAGCCCGAGGTCATTTGGAAAAGAGGACCCTTCCAGAGAAGAGTTTGAAACTTAAATACCTCTCTTTCTTTCCAGGAGCCATCACACCTTCTACAGTGGTTCAGGGAGGCCACATAGACTTTAATAATGTGGCCATGTCAGCTTCTAATTTGTCATCTGCTGCAAGTCATCCCATTAAGTTGAGTGAACTGCCCCATTTAACATTCTGTCAAATGGTGTAACCTCATTGATGACCCCCTATCAGGACCCAATCACAGTGTTGCCAGGTGTGTGTCTGAATCAATTGAGTTGTCAATAGTAACCTCATTCCATGTGGCCTTGTGGGCACCGAGTGTTGAGTTACAGCTTTCACTGCATCATT